ATCTTACCAGTTAATTTATTCTATTAAAGAAGAGCTTTTGGCGATTACCAATAATTTGATCAATCTGGAACTCAATGCCGTTGCCATAGACAAAATGTAATCAAACAGTTTTAGAACAAATCATTTCGGATCATTTTCTATTCGATATTATTCTTTCGTAAAGTCATGAAAATATTTACTAGCCTGAGGGTGAGTTTTCTCTAGCTCTTATATGTCATTTGTCTTCTAACACATTCATCAGGATATAATCAATTCTAAAATAGAATACAAAATCACGTATTATAATACGACTAGTAAAAATTAAACGAAAATCATTCATTCATTACAATTCAAATATTGATATTGGTAACCGGAGAATTTTGTCTTGCTAAGAAGGTTAACTCGATATATGTCATGAGTAAATTCTTTTCTTTCGTTTAATTCAACATTAATAATCCATTAAGAAAGATCTGCGTAGTAATGTTGCATATTTCGATGATTAACGATTTCACTAGAACTGACATTATTCATTGAATAACTCAACAAACGAAATACCTTTATATAGAATTGTAAATTGATATGTATTAAGATCGAAGTTCTTTAATCTCAACGAGTTCTTATTACCATTAATTTCCACTAGTCTGGATTAAATATAAATTCAACACTAGTTTAATTATACTCAATAATTTCTCTTCAGCTCGTATTGTCTGTATTTTTAAAAAGAGTTATCATTACATACGATATCATATATTTAAAAGAGCATTTTGTAATTATATCTTGACACAAATGAAATAATAAATCTACATGAGTTCACTCACCTTACGAAAAATCAAACTCGTATAAACAATATGTATTTCCGCAGGAATAATATTAATTCGATAAATACATTGTAAATATAAAAAGCTTATATATAGTGAAAAAAAATATAATATCCTATTTAGAATAGTATTAATATGTAAAGATACAAGCATAGTAGCGATTGCAAGAAACCATGCTTGTCAAGAAGACATTGTAGAACATGATTAAAAACATCTCTCAAGAAATGTCAATAATAATAATTGAGCAGTTAGAATCAATCCCTATATAATAACAAAAAATGAAAGTTTATCCATCGCTACTACTTAAATAGTGTTATATTCCTTTATTTAGGAAATTTCTAGATCGAAATTCTAAATGAAAGATAAACAATTCATATTATCACATTTTATTTATATAAAACATCATGTCAATACTGCAAAAGCGTTGTACATAGGCTTCAATGATAATAAAGATCAACTTCTATGTAATACTTCAAGAAAACCTAGAAGAAATCGCTTCCATTACAGTATACATGCAGCAACTCACATTAGATTTAGCTTTTGTGAGTACTGTTAAATTTCATCAAACCAATTCACTTCCAGTTTATCCGTAAGTGTTATTGATTTGACGTGAATAGGAAAGTCTTGTAGACCATTTTAATGAAGAATACCTTGTTTGCAAATTTTCTTCAAAAAGGGTGATAATGAAATATTCAGAAAATTAAAAAAAATAATTATATTTAATAGTTTAAATGAAAATAAGATTTACTGATGAATAAATCGTGAACATATATTGATATACAGATAAGAAGCAGAATCGATTGAGGAGGGCGAATTTTTTCAATACATAGAGTATATATAGATATTAAGATTATTAGGAAATATTTATTTAATATGACAAAAAAATAGCGAAATCTTACACAAATAATACCATTTAGAATTTAGATACATAGTTATAAAGCAGCTGTTAGCACAGTTCTTGTTGTATTGAATTGTAAAACGCGAAATAACTGCTGTAACTAGTAGACAAACATGTGTAACAGATTAATTTGTCAATGTTGTATGTATTCGATATTCTCTTCGATTCATCAGAGAAAGTAAAATCAACATTATCCTAGAGCTTTTTAGTTTCCCTACGAATTGCTGTGTTTCTTTTGGCGGGTAGGTCTAAGTGTGGTATCGGAAAGTGTGCAAGTTGTTAGGTGCATATGTGTACGTATGTATTTTTTGCACTTACACCCGTAAGATAACTCTCATGATCTGTACTGATAATGGCGATACGGTCCGAAGATCTTGCTCGATACTCCAACAATCCTTTTAATTCATATTTCACAAAACATCGATCATTTATCTATAATTTTTTTTAATTTTGACTATCATTCGAAATACACTATATTTACTTACTTTATTTAATTTACTGAGCATGATATTCTTTATTACTTATTCAAACTGTAACGATAGCAATAATGAGTATGAGGTCAACATTAGAAAATAATATTTAAAAGTATATTAATGAACAAGTCAATTAATATATTAATTTTTGCATATTGAATAGAATGACAAAACAATTATTATTCTATGAAATGAGAAAATATTATTTAAGTGTAAAAACTCGTCATTTTTTTTCTGTTGGAACTTTAACTCAATAAAATTTAGCAAGATAATTTATTTAGACTTCAAACATCATCAATTTACGAGATCAAGTTCAAGGACATACAGACGTTGATAAGGCATAGCTAATTAAACAAATAGTAAGCTTGAAGTTTCTTTTTTTTCCGGTCGGAATAGTTGCGAACTCTACATCCACATCTCTTTAGCGCGAAACTGACATTTTTCTTCGTATTAACTAACAAAGACTTTTTTTTCCATTGTCTCTTCTCAAAAACTATAATATACTCATATTACTAATTCGAGCCAAATTGTAACTTTTAAAATATACAATAAATAGGATTATAAACTTAATATCAAAAGCTAAGAATACTTCTTTTTTTTTCTTGACACATTTCTAGGTAAATTTTAATTGAATCATTTTCAAACTACATTCAATTTTGTCTAAGTCTCAATTTTGGTCTACAAATAAACTAATCCTTCGAGATTTTATACTAATCTTATTGGATAAAAAATTCATGACATCCAACGCAAAAGAACTCTAAGTCACAAAAAGAGAATAGACTCAATCGAGATACATTTTCTTTTTGATTTTTATTCAATATCATCATATATATGACAATAGATAAAAAAAAATATCCCTTTTAGCGTTCTTTAGTTTTACACGATGTTTCATTTCAATTTTTTAATAAGAATGTCCTTAAAATGATTTACTTTTAGTTTCAGCACAATGTGCTTTATTGTAAAATTCATTTTTTTTTGTTCTAAAACCGATAATCTAGAATGTATTTCTGCAAGATAATATTATCTGATTAATGAAAACATTATATTATCAGAAATTAGAGTGCAAATCAATTGATACTTTCTATTTGATAGCATTTGAATAATTATTATGCATTTAAAAGTAACTCATGAACAGATTTTTGTTTGATATATGAGATAAATAATTTTTGAAAAAAATCAATTTATTCACATAGGTTGAGGATGCTTTGCATAAACTGATAAATCAGTTTTAAGGTCAACCAGATTCTGAGCAGACTGCTTTGCCTGTTTTTCAGAGTTGCTAAATTCAAATTCCAAAAATCAAGAATTCATCATGTGATTTTTATTAATATCAGAAAAATGAAACGTTCGTTTATATAAGTGTATTTTTTTTATGTTTTATTGTCAAGTTAGTAATGGAAAAATTTTTCGATAAGTGACACGCAAGAAAAAGAAAAATCATTGTATGTATTTCATATTATTAATCTAAATCATATACATTTGCACTGAAAATAAATCTCACTTAAGAATACTAGAAGAAAATCTTAAAATCAGTAGTCTCATGGTTAAATCAAAAGATTTGGTAAGCCTTGTGTGATTTCTCAACAATGGATCAAATGATGTATCCGTTGGTGAAAAATAATCATAACTGATAGAGCTAGAAGTCAAATGCTTATACCTGTTATGTATATTTTAGTTTGCTATGTTTTTGAATCTAATTTAGGAAACATTAAAAAACGGTTGAAATTATACATTTATCATACTGACATCAGTACAAGTAACATTTGATCCGAACATGTTCAATGAATAATTAACACTAGACCTCTACCTGGCCCAAGACCGGCTAGAAAAGTCGGCTGACTGCACAGCCCGAAAAATATCGAAATATGATTCTATACGACATCTACTATTTCGAAATCCTAGACTCATGTTGAGGAAATCATAATGAATTTCAATCGCCTTCAGGTATCTTAGTTCAGCTGACTAGTGAGAGATAATGAATCTGAATCATAGATTTCCATATAAGGAAGCTCTTAGCTGTTCATTACCATTCTTTGTATCTCATGTGGATAAACCATGCAGAAATTTTTCTAAACGTTTGAGACTTCTTTATGGATGAATTTAAGTCATGCAAAACGATAATTAAACTATATATGCACATAATATCTGAAATATCAATGGTCTGTTTAAGATTGAGTCATGTATAATCATAAGGAAACTATTAGCTGTTAATTATCATTTTTGACATTATTTGTATCTTCCGAACGCCACTGAATTTCGAAAAACGGATTTCAGATGCACACTCGTTACATTCTCAGGATCTCGCCAACCTTTTTTTCGACTGAAAATGATACTCAAGAGCTGAAAATAAGTGGCTCACGTGTTGAGAAGAAGAAGGAAGGAGGAGAAGAATTTACCATGGCAACTAACCGAGTGAAAAGCAATAAGTCGATTCTACCTGCACTTCGTGCAGTCAGTCCACTTAAATAAACGCTCGGATAACATCGTTTATAGATAGATACTTGTTCAAAAAATTTTCAGAAATAAATTTCAGTAATAGATAGAGAGTCTAAAGAGCTAAAGACCATGTCAAATTAATTGTTTTGCCAAAAAAATAAGAAGATTATAGTGATCCTGCTGAAGCTTGCTAATTCTTGTTTACAATTAGGAGGACTTATTCTTCTATAATTTACGACTCATTACCAGTTGCATTTGACTGGTGATAATAGCAAACTGTACTGGACCATTTCCATGGAAAGATAACATACTTATTCACACCTGTTATTAAAAAAATTTTTCAATATGCATTCATTCATTTTCATCTTCAACATAAATAAAACAATGAACACTAGAATGACATTCATGCGTATGATAGATAGTAATGCATTGAAAAATACGAATACAACCAATACTGTCGTAGCTAATCATCGTCAAATAAAACTTGCAATTTTATTACCATGTCAAATATTATCAATCATATGTTCTCTATTTGTATTTATTAATATCATATATCGACCATCAAAATTAATAAAATCAATTGGAAATCATTTTATTCTTCCATTATTAATAACAAGTTTTATTCAAGTAACAACTGAATTATCAATGGTAGAAAATTATTTACATACTGGTATTGTACGACCATCAACAAATAGTTATTGTTTATTTTTTAATTGGTATGAATTTTCATTAAATGGTATTAGTTTATTTATTAGTACGTTATTTCTTTTTTTTGTAAAATTCACCGATTATTTATAAATTTTAGTGCTTTGGGCATCTATTGAACGTCATATTATTATTCTTTCTCAGTTTGTCTTCCAAATTCAATGGAAACGTATTGTTTTTCATTATATACCACTTTGTATAGCAATATTGTATCCACCAGTATGTTATGCTTATCTTATTTTTATATATAATTGTGTTAATAATTGGAATTATTATGAATTATTATGTACGGCACCATGTTTTTATCAAAATAAAATTCTAGGTACTATGGATTGGTTAGTTAATATAATCATACCAGCTTTTTCAATTGCTCTAGCAAATCTTTTACTAATTATTCGAATTATACATCGTTCAACTAAAATAAGACATAATCCTGAACGAATAAAAAAGAATCGAAAAATGACCATACAATTACTAGCAATTTCATCACTTTTTCTTATATTTTGGTTACCAATTGCAGTTACAGGTTTAATTCAACAATTTTTTTATCCAACATTTCTTATTTATATTCAATTTAACATCTTTTTCTACTTAATTTATTTCATTCAACTTTTTTTGCCTATTGTTTGTATAGTTTTTTTACCAGAATTGAAAAAAACGATAATCGTTAAAATTGGTCAATTGAGACGAAGAAATGTAATAGGTGATGTAACAGTTATACAAAACGCTTCTATTCTAAGAACATACCACAATTGATTGTATAAACAGAATTTAATTTGTATCGAATAAATAATCTCAAATTTAATTATTAAAAGTTTAATTTAATTTTTAATATTTCTCTTTTTCTTATGCACTAATTGTCATCATCATAAATTGTTCTCATTTTTTTTTCATTGTATTGATTTTTGTCAACTCCTTCATTTTGATACTCTTGTGCTTGTTGTTGTTTTTTTCGTGAATTCTCTTTATTACTAACCTACATATACTCTTTGCTACTAAATATTAAGTGTATCATGCATTAAATAAATGAAAGAGACTTAGATGTCGTCATAGCTGTAGAAAACTAAAATTCGGATGGTATTTTACCAGTTTATTGTAGTAACAATTCATTGTTGTTAATTGTGTATAGAGATTCAAAATTAGGTTATAAGGTGTATTTGAGAAAAGGCAAGAATAATGGAATTGGTATTTGTGAATCTAAAGAATTTCCGTGTACAAAGTTTGAATCATTCGTGACAAGTATGGCATAATCTGATGAAGAATAAATATTTCTTATTATAAAACTAAAAGTCCTATTAATGAAAGACAACATGATTTAGACTTCTTTTATGCCTTGTTTGATCGTTTTTGTGTGTCTTGTAGACTTCTTCGGTAATTTCTGATGTTTAATTTCAAATCATTTTTATGTATTGATTCATTAGTTGATACTATTATTCGTGATCGAGTTTTACTCAACGATAATGCTGATCTAGCTGCTAGTGTCCTCGTCGTTTCTTGACTTATTGGTTGATTAGAAGATACATCAATAGTTGATGGTTTAAGAGTTATATTAAACGAAACAAATTTCAAATTTCAATTATTTTAAGCATTCGAATATCAAATTCAAAATCCAATTAATATTCCATCAGTATAGTCAACATACATGAAAAAGGAAATCTATTTTTCTATATTAACGATCAAAATATATCTCAAATCTATTGAGGTACTTTATCACTACGAAGACAGTCGCATATACCTGTCATACTAGGCAAAAGAAAGAGAAACACCTCCTATCGAGATTAGTAGCGATAAGGAAGAATTTATGTAGAGAGAAAAAAAAAGAAAAGAAGTGAAATGTAACGGTCATTTATCGTTACAAGTCATAATTTTGTTTCGAGTAATAAGAAAAGCATACAAATCATTTTCCTATATAGAAACACTGTAACAGTTTTTTGAACAATAGATACCAATTATCAAATTAGAATTAGTTGAATTTGAAGATACATATGGTTACAACATATCAAAGACAAATTTGATAAAAAAATTTTTCATTCACATGAGAAAATGTTTTGTTTTATGTATTTCATTTATTGTTTAGATCTCACAAATGTATACACTCTCCCCAAAAGTTCCATTGTTACAATGGACTATAAAATTGATTGTGTACGAATATTTGTCAACAAAAATGACATAGTTACTAAAAATCCGTCGTACTGGTTTTTCGTTAGTTAAGAAAAATTTACCATGGAATAAATTATTAAAAATCAAAAAAGTAGATAATCAATCATGTTCAGATGCAGGGCTAAACTCGATCTAGCCTTTGAAGTGCTAAAGTTAGTATTGTTTGATCAACGGAGTAAATACCTAAATTTTTTTCATACTACAAATGAATTTACAATCATAGGCAACAACTTTTGTCTTGTTTCCATCAACGATTCTTTAACAGTTACAGAAAACATATTGTTTGTATCAAAGAAAACTTACGCTAGTTCATTAGAAATGAAAAGATCCACATCTCAATGATATTTATTCGAAAAATCCTAAAGATTGAAACGTATCACTAAAAAATGACTATTCAAATAGTACAACGAAGGAAAAAGCATTCGTACTTTTTCTGTATTATATTTATTTATTTTTTCTTGCTTCTTACTGTAGGATATTATCTTGATCATGGTTATTCATTGTTATTTGTCATTAAGAGAAACAAATATTGATTTATTTGCGTGTATTTTTTCAAGTGTGGGGGGTGTGTGTTTTTTTTCTTTGAAAAATATCGTTCCTGAGGCCCAGGAGAAGCAAAACAATGGAGGCACTATCAAAAAACCATGAGAAAAAGCTTTCTTCGAATGGTGCTAATTTTGTAAAATCTGCCAAACTTGATAGATACAACATTTTCAAGAGAAAAAAAAATACGCGCTTCAATTTCATCGAAGTATCTATTTAAAAAGTTTGACCCCAATCGATCAAACCATCTAGGAGAGAAAAGGGGAAAATTTTATTTTTTTTCTTCTAAAAATCTGATTTTGAGAAAGTTGCATTTTTTGACCTTTTTAGCATAAAACTGAGTTTTTTTTGAGCTTTTTATATGCAAAAAGATGGTTTTACCTCATTAAAACGTGCTCATTAGATAGAGGTCATTTAGATCTATATACTAAACATTAAAAATGAAAAACGAAAAAAGCTGAAAATTTTGGATCAGTCAACGGAATCTTCTTAAATATTGTATAACAAATGGGTATTATAATAATAAACAATATTCTTTTTCGAATAAATATCGTTGTAAATATAAAATAAAATAAAATAAATCATCATATAAGACATAAATATCGTCATAAATTTCAAGTATTTGTCTAAGATAATCATGTCCTATTGAAGAGTCAAGTAGTTTTTTAGATTTATTGAATATATGAATGTTTTATGAGAATCATGACTCAACAGAAATGTTTCAATAATCTTTTTAAGTGTATGAGTATTTCGAAGATTCGCTATGTATATCGAAATTGAATACTTTTGCTACGAGAGTATTTTTGTACTGTCAAACTCGGTTTTTTTATCTTATGAGTTTAAAACAAGATGCGAAACCAATTTTAATTTTTCACTAACTAATGAAGCATCTGTCAGCTCTGTGTGAAACATTGCAACAGTAAATAACAGTATTAACTTATACATTCAATGCGATCTTCCCATTGCTTTTGGAAATGAATCTCGGAATGAATATATACACAATTGATTATTTATTTTTTTTATAATAACTAACCTAAATATGCATACATATCCGTAAATAATTACATATTCGACTTGAAATTCTAGTTAAATTGTTATAGGTATCCATATTCATAAGGATTGCCATATAAGAGAGAATGTATATGAATCTATAAAAGCCAAACTAATTTAGTAACCAGAAAAAAATAATATTTTTATGTTGAATATGAATTAACACATATAAACTGTAAAATTTCACTTGAAAACTCTATAAATCAAAGTCTTTTATCGTTTGGAAAACATTCATTATAATCACAATAATTCTACATTTCTTAAAATCTTGTGAATACACCTATCTATAAAATGTTCTTGTTTCGATTATACATTTATTTCGTTTGAATCAAATCTAAATCGCGCTGAAATTAATCAGATGGACGTATAATGTTAACAGTTTTGTCAATACTTCGTAAGATCCAATTTTTGAGCGATTGATACATTGTTTTTGTTGAGTCTCTTATCAATCGATATTTAAAAACTTCTCTACAACTTCATATTATTATTCTTTTTTATCGTTGAAACAATGATTATTGTTTATGATAGCTCTAAGAAGAGTTCTAAAAAGAATGTGTAAATATTCGTCTCACAAGAAATAGTTCTATCATCGTGTGAGAGTCTGTAATAAGTATGTTGAATCTCAATAAAATTTTCTCGACATACTAAAACATAAGTTTTACTAGATCCATAAGGAATTTTAAGATGCTTGTTCTCAAAAACAATATTGTTCAGAATAATAAGATTAATAGTCCTGAATCATTTCAAACATCGATTTTAAATGTTTATATATGCCATTTCTCTTGCTAGTTTTGATTGAAATATTAAATTCCAACTTGAATCAAAATGTTTCAAGTGAGTTTCATATAACATTACAATTGATACGGTAATTCTCAGTTAACGAGAGAACTGAAATACTATTTTAGGTTCCCGCCTTTAATCTTAAATTTAAGATGAAAAAATTGTTTATAACTATTAATAATTTTCAATAATGTCAATTGTAACAACCAAAATAAATATCATCGCACAAATTTGACTTTCTATGATGAGTAACATATACGCAAATCAACACTATGTAAAAGCAAAAAAAAACCAACCTATAATGTTAAGCTCTCTATATATGATAAGAACTTTACATTTGCAAATAATAAAATATCTGCGTTCTTCGACTAAAACATATGGGTACTAGAACAAATTGTCTTTTTCGTAAAGCCTTTTGATCGAATAAATAACAAGTGATATACTATTTTTATATAAAATCTACCGAAACAAATACGACGATAAACATCATATAAATATCTGATTATTCATATCAAACATGGCTACCTAATTAATTTATTTTTACACACATTATAATGCATATGATCATATTTTATAGTTGTTGTAGCTAATAATCTAGCTAACTTGTTTCTTCAACTTATATACGAATCTCCAGTTAATTCTGTGTTATAAGTAAGGAATCGAACATTACAGTCAATGAAATACAATATCATTCAAAATTACTTTATACCTACTTATAATAGATATAGAATTCGTCTCTAATTCTATGAAACTTTCATTTATCCCTTTCATATGAAATTTTTCTAAAATATGTTAAGATGTTCGTATTTTTTAAAATAAAGTCTTTTAATGACTTTTTCTAAGTCTAAATAAGTAAATTTTAAAAAATTTTCAGCATCTATGTAATACATTATTAAATCAGTGTTACAATCTTCGGGTTAACTAACATCAGTAGAAAATGTAATATAGTCGTACTTTTTGACTTCTGCTAAGTTACTCGTGAACTACCTTAGTATTTACCTTATGTTACTGTTATGGCACTTAGATGTGCTATATATATATATGTATGTAAAAAAAAAAAAAATTATATGTATTATCCATACATGTTCGTTCTCTTTCTTCCGTTTCATGCCCGTATAGCTAACTATGTCTTTTCTTTCGTTCTGTCAGATATTTTCCTAATGGGTTCTTTTGCTTTCTTCTTGTATTTTCGTTCTTTTCTGTGATCTATCAACTCTTGTTCGTTTTCTTCAATATCTATTGTTATTCTTTTTTTTCTTCTCTCGTAAAAGTCAAGAAAATGCTTTTCTTGACCTTGAAATGAAATAATTGCGCAGTTAGTAATGTGTGACTATATATATACATATATAGATATATATATACGGGAGAGAGAGAGAGAGAGGGGAGACATTGAAAAAGAAAAAAGGAGTTTGTGTTTTTTCTTGTTTTTCAGCAAAATATAACTGATAAGAAAAAATATATATAACATCTTAAATATAATCATATACACATCAACGTAAATAAGGACATAACAGTTACATTAGATTAATATTGACGCCCAAACTATCGTCAGCGATATATAGAGTTATTTAACCAACAAATAGCAAAATTGCTTGACAGTTTTTAGACTGTAAATTCAAAATTAAACGTTTTAGCTATATTATAAAATCTATCTAAAGTTTTATTGAAATGTATCCTAGGAAATATGAGATTCATGTAAGTATAATTTTAGAAAAATGACTAATAATTATTTAAATTAAAAAAAAATATTAACATAATAAACGTTTAAATGGTGCATATTACATCTTTTGAAATGCTAATTATATATGAATGAATTCTTTTTAGATGTGAAAGTTGACTTCAAACAATTCAACATTAAATCATTTAAAATAATCGAAAAGTATGTAGAACTACTTATTTATTGCATTCTAACCATTTTAGCAATCATTCTTAGAATATCGCTTGAAGATTTTCCTCATATCTTTAGGTTAACACTCGATAGATCATGGGTACTTTCATGATAATATTTCAGGACGATGATTTTAACATCTAGTTCTAATGTATTAGATCGTCTCTAGTCAGAAAAAGTGGGATCTTCGACGCAGGAATATAATGCTCTTATTTGATGAAAACTTACGCCCGTTTCTAGTCGAAAATGGAAAAGTCAGTCGCTGAATCCTAATATCATAATTCTGCTATTAAGTTCAAATCGCTGCCAGAGTTTTCTATCAGTAATCTGCCTTATATCATTCACCTGTAGTATTTAAAAATATTATAAGGTTTTTAAAATTACTCGATGCTTTTACTTACCATATTATAACTTAATTAAAAGTTGATAAATAAAGAGCTGACATATTTTTCGATCTTTGTTAGAAAGGCATGCTGATTCTAGGACATCATATAGAAGATAGAACTACTCTTGACATTTGGTAGTGAATATGAAGCTTCATATCAATTGGAATTTTTCTATGAAACTAACTCAAAACATTTTGATTCAAGCTAGGATTTAACATTTCAATCAAAAAAAAACAAAACAAAACAAGAAAAAGTACATCTGTAAACATTCAAAACTCGAAGTTTGAAATACTTTAAGACTATTAACTTTATTATTCTGAACAATACTATTGTTGAGAACATCTTAAGATTCCTTGTGGATCTAGTATAACTTGAGTTTTAGTGTGTCCGAAGAATTTCATAAAGATTCTATATTCTTCTTATAGATTCTCACATGATTATAGAATTATTTCTTGTGAAACGAATGTATATATACATTTGTTTTAGAACTGTTCGTAGAGCTATCATAAACAATAATCACTGTCTCAAGGATAAAAGAGAATAATACTGTGAAGTTATAGAGAAAATTTTAAGGTATCGATTAGTAAAAGACTTAACAAAAAACAAATTATCAATTTTCGCTGATAAATATAAGAAAATGATCTTCCTATGTGAACTATAAGAATGTTTTAGTATCAAGAATTAATTACTGATTCCCTTCATTTCGATTGATTTTTAAAAATTTTCACTAGTATTAATTGTCTTGAACGCTATAGTCTACACATTATACAAACGAATAGAATTTAAATCCTAATACTAATTAGTACAAATTCTCATCATTTACTAGAAATTGTGGTTCTTTCAATCAATCTCTCAATCATACCCACATTTGCAAATAATTAAACAATAAAAATCAATTCTAGTGACCAAATAACACTTTAAGTTTTATTCAACATTCAATCATTTTAAAGTATATTATTAGTTAGAGTAGAAAAATAACAACATAGATAAAAGGTTATTTATAATACTTTAACATGGAAATATAATATTTTGATCTGGTTACTAGATTTGAAAACTGAAAGTTAGAACGTGAAATTATAGTTAAACAGTTGAATACATTTGTATTTTTCAGTACATTAGTCAAATAATAGCCGTAATGATGAGATTATCTGAACGATTCATGAGAACAAGCAAATAGAAGAACAATCGGCACATTATATGTTCAAAAAGGATGTCAATTTTGAATGTTAATATCCTCAACACATTTTGTTCTTAATTACAAAATCCTTTTTTTTCTTTAACAATCTAAAACACATCATTATTAAAAAATTTTTACGAAATTCTTTAATAATGATTTCTAGTTTTGATTTTTAAACAGATTCTTTTACTTCATCTTAAACTATATTGTAAATTCTAACTATTAAAAATAACTAGCAAAAAAAAAACTACGAAATTTTAATTTATATGTTACTATGTCATGTAGTAGTGTCATGGTATGTTTAGAAAATGTCGACTAAATATTTTCAAGAGATATAACTGAGAAAATTTTAATCTAGTTGATACAGTGTCATAGAAAAATTAGGATGGTATGAAATTACCATACGTATCATATATCTTATATTTCAAAAAAAAATTCTTTCTTGACTATCACAATTAACCTATCTTATTTGATTATCTACAAATATGAATATGATTTACAGATTCATTCAGAAAACAACAATTCGTGATAAATAATAAACTATCACTAATACAAAGTAAAACACACTTGAATCATTATTTTTTCTCGTAATTTATGCTTTTCGTATCTATATAATTTTCTGTGTTATCGATTGTCTTCTGATGAAGAACATGATCTGTCATATAAATATGTGTGTGTTCGACATGGTTGAATGGTTTAGATGATATCTTAAATTTAGTCAAAAATTTTTGTAAAACTTTAAAAATTTTAAAACAAGCAATTTCCATTATAAACAAGTCAATTTTTTTATCGATTAATGAAAGCACATTGAAATAATGCTTCTTTGTTTTTTTTTTAAATTTTTCTATTATAATTATGTCAAATCGAAGAATCTAGTGTGTCACATTCTCATTACTTTAATATATGTAAAACGATGAATAGTTTATAATGAGAATAAAAAATCAATCAAATTGTACTTATTAGAAATGATTTGTAAAGCAAAATTAAGAAAAAAAATGAAAATCTGTTCAAATCGATTCTAAATATATTAACATTGTGCATATCATTAAAAACAACGAATTTTATTTGAATTATCTATAGAATAAATATTACTTTCTCTCATTTGAATTGTTATCTTTCTCACTTGATCTTTTATCGAATGATTCTCTTTGTGTTATGTTCAACTTAAATATTAAAATAAGAATATTCTCTTCGATGAATAACTCTAATAAAATATATTCAAATACAAATCTTAACAAAACTATTTTTAAACATGAAAAATTCTGTAAAATATTTTTCTTCCAATAGTTAACAGTATTATTATCATGATAAAAAAACTCTTTTACTAAGATATTCTCTTTCTGTATGTATCATTTACTCGAAATAAGCTGCATAGAGATTGTAAAATTTGAACGAATTTTTTACATTCTATATAGCCAGAAGCCATTTTTCGAGTAAGCGGCGTGCTCGTCCGATAAATGAATAGCTTCTTTTTATCTTTCATAATGTGTACTAGTAGTATTAAAATTAATATGCAATGAATGTAATGATAAACTAAATGTTATTTAGAATAGCAAATATATTTTCAAGTATTTGTTCGTTTGGCTATTTTTCTTTTGATACTTTTTCATACTATAGAACAGTACATTTTTTCTAGGGTAAATTTACCTTTATACCCGGACAAACTATCGAATCTGTTTCAAGTACAGTGACATCTGATATCGAAATTGTACATGGGTTGATTTGATATGTTGTCCAATAAAATCGAAGTCATTCATTACTATCGAGCAATCATATTCGCTTTTATTATCATATATTCGCCTTTCTCTTCATTCGATATGCGTTTGTATGACCCATAGAGAAGGGTACACTGCTTATCTTTATTCATTTGTCCATAAACTCTAAAATATTCATATAGATTGACAAAAAGAGAAGTCCCTTCAAAAAAAAAAAAGTTTCTTTTTTTTTTGATTGATTGTTATTACTAAACATACGTAGATCTCAAGTGCGATGACAATAATCTCTTTGTAAAGGTGAGAGCAGAATTGAAATGCTATATCTGTTATTTTTTGTCTTTATAATTTATATTCGTTTTCTTTTTTTCTCCGAATATCAACTATTTAACTTAAGTTTATCCTAGTATTATTGACAACATAATAATAAAAAAAAAACGAAAGACGACATCATGGTTGATCTCGAACCGTATTCCCCCGAGCTCTTATGGATATTAATTGTTGGATTTATTATTGCATTTGTATTAGCATTTGGTATTGGTGCTAATGACGTTGCAAACTCGTTTGGTACAAGTGTTGGAAGTAAAGTATTAACATTGCGACAAGCATGTATTCTGGCAACAATATTTGAAATACTTGGATCGATATTAATCGGTAGAATAAAAAAAAAACCTAGTTGGAAAGATTTTATATATTTATAATTATTTAGGAGCGAAAGTGTCCGATACGATACGGAAAGGTATTATTGATCCAAGTTTATTCGATGATCCAAAAGAATTAATGCTTGGTCAAATTTCATCATTACTTAGTAAATAAACGAATTTTCTTGAATTATTCAATAAGTTTTTAAAATAGGTTGTTGCATTTGGTTATTGGTTGCTACATTTTTTAATTTACCTGTTTCTGGTACACATAGTATTGTTGGTGCAACAGTTGGTTTTGCTCTTGTTGCTCATGGTTCTCGAGGTATACAATGGATTGAATTTGCTAAAATTGGTATGTAGAAAAAAAAAAACAAAAAAAAGTTAATCCATAAAATAAATAAAATAATTTTATTTAGGTGGTTCATGGTTTGCTTCACCAGCATTAGCTGGTATTATATCAATTGCTGTTTTTGTACTTATACGAAAATTTATTCTTCAAAACGTAAAAATTATCATGATATTAAAATCAATATAATTTCTTTTGTTTCGGTTTTTTTTCTTTAAGCCTGATCAATTAACAGTTGGTCTTCGATGGTTGCCAGTTTTTTATGGTGTAACAATAATGATCAATTTCTTTTCAATTCTTCTCTCTGCACCACCACGTTAGTGTCTTTGTTTTTGAAATAAATTCTAATCGTTTTTGGTTTTTTCGTTTGTTGATTTAGTTTTATATTTTGATCGTATTCCATTATGGGGAAAATTTGTTACAACAATTATTGTTGGTCTTCTTGTTGGTCTTCTTGTTATGGTTGTTGTTAAACCACGTATGAGAAAAACTATTGAAGGTTTAATAAAATTAGATTTTTTTTAAGCAAAAAAAAAACGTATTTATGCTTTTTATTGTTAGGTGAGTTAAAAAAGAAACGAGATTTGGAAAGTCGAGGAAAACAAGAACCAGACCTAACGCAACCTGATGCAGTGCTTGAAACTTATGCCAGTAAATATTTTTTTCAGTAAAAACAAAATATATATATATATATATATGTGCTTTTTATTCTTAGATGTGTTAACAAGGAAACGAGATTCTGAAAATCGAGGAGAAGGTGAACCACAATTAACAAAAACTGATGGAAGATTTGCGACTTATACTGGTAAATATAAGTTTTGTTTAAATTTATTCTTTGACTAATAAATATTTTATTTTACTCTATAACATTAAAAAAAAATGTGAACTAATGATTTGTTTAAGCGATTTGTATTGTGACACTGGAATTTTTATTCTTTTTTTTTTTGTTTGTTTTAGTTTCTCATCTTGAAAATGTGAATACAAGTGATAAAGAAACTCAAATTGATCATATATCAATGCTTAAAGAATATGATTTAATACGTTATCAACAACAACATCCAGATGTATTTCGTCCTTATGGTAAACAATTATAAATTTTATTTTTAATAAATTAAATTTTCTTGTTTGTTTTTTTTGTCTTAGTTGAAATGCAACGAATACGAAAAGATTCTGAAACAATCTCAAGTCCAGGCGTAAGTGGTGTATTACGTGCACGTCGTGATGGTGATCGTTTTCGTAATGATATTGTTGGATTGGATGGTACAAATCCTCTTCCTGGACAACAACGAACTGTACCTAATCCACTATCTATTCGTGAAGTAAAAACAACAAGAAATTTCGTTATTTAATTTATACTTTTCTTTTTTTTGTCTTATAAGAAAACAAAAATCTATCGTCTTCCACAAAATACAAATCCAACTACTGTACCTGGCTCGATGACTAATGAAAACAAAAGTTTGTTATTAGCTGCTGGTAATTAGTTTGTATATTTATATTATTGGTGGTGGGTAGATGTATAAATATAATTTTAGTATTGATGCCCCGTAAGTTAGATAAACGGGTTTAAATTAGATAATAGTAATAAAAAAAATATATATGAAATGCAATGCTCAAGTGATTTCAATCAATCTTTTTTTAAATATAATTTCGCATGTGATTTATATTTCAGGAAATTAAATAAGATATATATATATATATATATATATATTTATTCTGCTCATGCTCATGCTATATCTCTCATTGGGTGCCTATTTTTTTCGTTATATTATAGATTAAATATTTAATATATATCTATATCTGTTTTTTTATTTTTTTGATGTAATTTATTAGATGATGATAATGTATCAACAACATCAGCTAATCAAAATAGTTCAAATGAAGATTTATTTGAAGTAGAAGATAAAATGCCAGAAATGGCAACAAAAAAAGTTTGTTTGTTTTTTTTAAATTATTGATTAAATATAAAGTTGATATTTTTTTTATTTTCATTGTCAGAAAAGAATTGATGCGACTAATGATACAATTGAAATTGCTGGTATTTTTAAATATTTACAAATTCTTACAGCTATATTTGGTGCTTTTGCTCATGGTGGAAATGATGTTAGGTAAGTTTTTTTTCGAATGTAAAACTATTTCGATTAAAAACATTGAAATTGAATTTTCTATGATTGTTTTTTGCTATTAAAGTAATGCAATTGGTCCGTTGATTGGTGTTTGGTTAATCTATGTTGATGGTTCTGTTAATGCTCGAACATCGACACCACTTTGGGTACTTTTCTATGGTGGTCTTGGAATATCGGTTGGTCTTTGGGTTTGGGGTCGTCGTGTTATTCGTACGATTGGTGAAGATTTAACAAAAATTACACCATCAAGGTAATAGATGATGATTATTATTATTATTTTTTTTAATATTTAACTTTTTTGTTTTTGAAGCGGTTTTGTAATTGAAATATCAACGGCATTTACCGTTCTTTTTGCATCCAATTTATCAATACCAGTTAGTACGACTCATTGTAAAGTTGGTAGTGTTGTAGCAATTGGTCGTTTTCGTTCAAAACAAAATGTTGATTGGTCATTATTTCGCAATATAATTGTTGCATGGGTTGTTACTGTTCCTGTCACTGGTGGTATAGCTGCAGGTGTTATGGCTCTTCTTCGTCTTATATTTCTATAATACATTTTTTATTTCAATATTTAACGTGAATATTATGAAGATATTCATGTCTGCTTCATTTTTTTTCCTTTTTTTTTCTGGTTCTTCATTTGGAAACTTTTTTTGTACTATTTCGCTCCTTTTTTTCTTCATAATTGGTTTTCTAATATTGAACAGTCTAATATTCTAGAGAAATAGATCTGCAAAAGTATTAGGCTACTATATATTAACCACTCAATAAATTCTTTCAGATTGTTTGTGTTTTTCTGTTTGAAGAAGTATATCATCAAAATGGCTAATAATAAGGTAATCAAATATGATGAGTAGGTTATTATTGATTTGATGATTTGGTTAATAGGAAGCATTAGCTCTTGTTGTTGATGTTGGTATTGGTATGTCCCAAGCAGCACCAGGATATGATTCACCTGTACAAATAGCGAGTGATATTCTTCAAATGATTGTTCAACGAAAGGTATGTCATTTTGTTTCAGTATAGAACAATTCATTATATATTTTACCAATCTATTCATAGCAAGATATGACTCGAATCAAATAATATTGTTTAAAATCCATTTGAAGTATAATTGCTTATTTTCTGCTCTTTGCAAAAAAAGCATAATCAAACGCTTCTAATATATTCTGATTTAAGGCTACTCATGATGGAATCTCTCTAGGTGTCAAATCACTTTTGGATCGAGGATGATGTTCATTTAATGAGTACTAGTGAGTGATAGAAAAGTCTAAAATCTGGGTTTCATTCTCAAGGTATCCAAATTTTACTGGGTTTTTCAAAATAAAATGTTGTGGTCAGATGGAAAATCAGCTTTCAAGTTTCAACTTCAAACACTGTGCGAATAAAGTTCTTAATAGGATTAGTTCATTGAGCTAGTTGTAACTTTTCTAGTATCTCCTATCCTGAGATATTCGAAATTCTCATATGTAAAAGTAAATTTTGTTTATATATTTACATCTTCAGAAAGGAAATACTAGTTTCACAATTAACTAATCTCATTAAGAACTTTGTTCATGTAAGGTTTGAAATCGATTTCCTATATGACCTGGCAGAGTCCACAACCTTTTGTTAAAAAATGCAGTAAAATTTCGCGAACGAAGATCTAGAAAACCAAATCATTCTAGACTTTTCTATTACTCTCTATTACGCATCAAATGAACATCATCTCGGTTGAAAAATGATTTAACATGTAGAGAAATTCTTCTTGTCAGTGAATGATTTGCTTATTAAAATGCACGACAAATGGATAGTATTTGTTTGACAAAATTTGTCTCAGAATAATATATATATTTTTTTAAAATTAAATAGATGTTTCAAGAGAGTAAAGATGAATTAGCATTAATTCTTTATGGTGCTGATGAATCAAATAATGATTTAGCTGATGAAGATAATTATCGAAATATAAATGTTGTATTTCCACTTTCACCAGCTAATTGGCATTTATTTGAAGAAATACAAAAAATAAAACCTGGTAATAATCCGGCTGATTGTAAGTAACGAATAAAAAAACCAATTTACATATTAATTATTCAATTCATGTGCGGTTTCTTTTTGTTAGTGGTTGATGCTATTGTTGTTGCAGCTGATCATCTTCGTCGTGAAACTGAGTGAGAAAGAAAAAACAAGTTCTTGTTAAAAAAAGAACGAATTTGATTTATTTTAGAGGAAAACATGGTTTTGCTGCAAAACGTGTTATGTTATTTACAAATGCTGCAACAACATTTAGTGATCATAGTCTTAAAACAATTCTTGATTCACTTCGACGTCAAGATATTATTGTCGATGCTATTGGACCAACATGGGGTCAACAAGATGAAGAAGATGACAATGAAGAAAATCATCATCCAGATCCATCTATGGAAACTAATGGACAAGAAAATGGTGATGAAAATTCTGATGCTAATCGTCCAACAACAAATGGTTATCATCATCAAACTCCAAAAAAACCATTAACACAACAACAACAAACTGGTATTCGTGTTATTGGTGAAATTGTTAATTCAACAGAAGGAACTTTATTTACATTTCGGTATAATATAATATTAATTTAAATCAATATGTATTTATAATATATATGTATTACTTTTATAGTGAAGCATTAACTATTCTCAGTGTTCATCAATCAAAAATTGTTAAACCAACAGCAACAAAATATATTATGCAATTAGCTGATCTTAAATTACATATTTGTACTTATATTCAGGTTTAATAAAGAACAAAAAAGAGAAGATTGTTGATTAATTTTACTTTACATTTTTTTAAAAATTAGGTTAAAGATAATAAACCAGCAATATTTCGTTTAAAAAAAGTTTATGCACGTGATCCAACAACAGAAATTAAAGTTGATCGTGGTCGTTATACAAAAGATGAACAAGATCAAGAAATTGAAAAAGAAGAATTAACTGATGGTTTTCGTTATGGTACTACATTTGTACCAATTAATAAAGAAACACTTGATGAAATGAAATATCAAAGTGAAAAATGTTTTTCAGTTATTGCATTTTCTGAAGCTAATATGGTATGAGAATATTTTACAATTCAATCTTATTATTTAAAATAATGTTCCTTTCTATATTAGATGCGACGAAGTCTTTACTTAGGTGATACAGTCTATGAAGTTATTGCTGAAGCAGGTTTTGAAGTAAGTGTTGATAAAGTGTCTCTATTGAAGCGGTACATCAAAATTAAGATTTAATCGAAATGAAAGACTATTTTTTTCAATGTTCTGCAAAAAACATTGATTTCACAATGATTTCGTTCTACATATTATCAAAGAAAAAGTCGTCTTCATGTCTTCACTTTCGATTGTTGAAAATCAGAGATTGCTAGGCACTTGCGTTCTCGATCTTTAAATCTTTCGTCGATATTATGAACAGCAGATTGTTCACTACTAATCTTATTACTAAAATAGACAAATGTATTTTAGAATTATTTCTAATTAAATTTTAGGAAGAAGCTCAAGCATTTGCTGGTCTTGTTCAAGCAATGTATGAAACAAATACAGTTGCTATTGTACGTAAATGTTTTAGTGAACGAAGTGCACCAGAACTTGGATTTTTACGTCCACATATAGCACATGATCATGTTGTAAGTAGTAAAAATTTTCTTTTAATTGATTAAATAAATATAAATATCTATTATTTTAGTGTATGTATTATGTTAAATTACCATTTGCTGAAGATTTACGTGAATTTGAATTTGATAATCTTGATTCAACAAAACGAAATCAACCAAATGATGAACAATTAAAATGTATTGATAATTTAATAACAACAATGGATTTAACACATGCTGATCGAAGGTAGAGATTTGATCAAAAAATACATAAAAAAAGAAAATAATTTTTTTTTTTGTTATTTTATAGTGGTGAAGAAGCATTTCGTCCAGAACTTGTTTTTAATCCATATATTCAACGAATGTTTCAAGTTTGTTTTTTCTTAATATTATTTTCTATTCATTGTTTTTTTTTGTCGTCAATGTTAAATTAATTTTAGTCTATTGCTCGACGTGCTGTAACACCTGATGAACCATTATCTTTATCAAATACAATTATGGAAATGAATGATACATTATTACGATCAATTGCTGGTAAAAGTAAACGAATATTAAATACTGTTCATGAAAAATTTGTTCTTCGTGACACTGATCGTCGGCAGAAAATTACTACTGGCGATGCACTTTTTGGTAATGTTGATAGGTAAGAAGAAAATAAGTTAATTTTCGAAAAAAAAAAATCCGAATTCTTGGTTTTGATAGTACGGCGAAAAGAGCTCGTCTTGATGAAAATGAAAATATTGAAGAACCAACAACAGATTCAACAACAACACCAGCTGATTCAGCATCATTTGAAGCTCAAGCAGCAGCTAAAAAGAAAGCAGCAATGCGAAATGTTGGTACATTAACACCAGTTGAAGATTTTAAATTTTTAATTGAACAAAGTTCACCATCATTTGCTGAAGTATGCAAACAAATGTGTAATATTATACTTGAACTTGTTCATAATTCTCATGGTGATGCTTTATTTGAAAAAGCTTTACAATGTTTACAATGTTTACGTGAAATATGTATTAATAAATTAGAACCAAAAATTTTTAATGATTTAGAATTATTACTTAAAAAACAAGCATCAACAATTGATGGACGAAAAGATTTCTGGCAAAAACTTATTGATGGTATGTTTTAATTAGATCAAAATTTCAAAAACAAAAAAGACACAATTTAGTAATAAGATATTTATTTTTGAAAACAGTTCATATATATTCAAATAATTATATTAATATGAGAACAAATCATTGAGAAAAATTTCCTAATTCTTATCTTATGAAGTTAATTTCTCACTGTCTCTCTCAATAATAGTCTAGTTGAACGATTCTGAAAGTCAATGTGTTTTATTAACATATCTGTATCATGACTTCATTGATTCTATTATTCAAGCCTTGTTTTACTTTACTAGATTATTAACTGTATCCTACCCTACCCTGAACATCTCTAATTGAATTAAGCCGAATTTTAATCAATCGTTTGAAACCTAAACTTCACCATTTATTCAGCGATTATTATTGGTCGCTTTTTCATTTGTTAACTAAAAGCGAACAGTCAGTTTAGGAACTTTGAGAAAGTCTCTAATTTGACTGTCACTTTGAAAATCTCATGAGAATTCTTGTATTAATTAATATAATATTTGTAGAAAAATTAAGTTTAATTACAAGTGAAGAATGTGTTGAATCAAATGTGATACCAGTCGAAGCAATAAAATTTCTTGAAGAAGAAATACCAACTGAAACAATTAATAATGCAGCAACAACTAATGAACAAGATGGTGAAGATGAGGATCTTGTACGTCAAAAAAAACAAAAAGAAAAAAATTTTTTTTTTAATATAAGTTTTCAATCTTTTTTTTCTGTTTATTTATTTTAGTTCGATCTTATCTAAATCAAAACTCTTTAAAGATATACACAAACAACGTCATTATATTATGCATGTAGATATCGAGTACAATGTAAGAAAACATAATGTTTGTAGATGAACTTTTTCTTTTCTGACGCGTCTTTCGTACCGTCCTTGTATTTGTTAATGTTAACATTCAAAAATTAAATGTAGTCATCGATAGTTATAAATAGATAAACAATTACATAGCTAATGACATATCTTCTCCTATAGATAATTTTGAACCAAATTCATTTTTTGTTTTTATACTATTATTTACTGTTCGTGATGGCTGTTGTTGTTGTTGTTGTTGTTGTTGTTTTTCATTATTAAATGATGTTCCATATATTGGTCCAAGATCAGAATTATCATTTTCTGTTAATATAGCAATAAGACGATAAAATTGTAAAAATAGAATAATACCATTTTTACATGTAAAAAATAATGTTGAATAACTTCGTACTTCAAATTTAAAAACAGCAACAAGTCGTAAAGCTAATTGTACAGCTGAACAACTCATTAAATTTAATTCATATAAATACCATGCATCATTTTCAAATAAACGTTGCATTGGATATAAAAAAAAGATACGTCGACGACGACCTTTTTTCAAAGTATAACGAAAATTATCTACATTTGTTGAACGAATATTTTTATTTGCTGCTCTCATATTTGTAGCAAATTGTAATAATGACCATGATAAAACAACTAATGTAGCAACTAACATTCGTTGTGAACGAAGAATTTGATCTTCATTAAATATTGTTAATAAATCGACAATATCTGATGCAATTGACATATAAACAAGAAGAAGTTGAGATAAATTTGAACGACTTGTTACACCTTTTGGTAATAACCAACGGCCAATAATAATTAAAAGAAGAAGTGATAATTCAAGACCCATGACTTTTGTTTCCAAATTTACATTTATACGCAGCTAATAAACATAAAGTAAAATATTATTTCTTAATAGATATATATATATATATATATATATATATATCTTTTTTTTTTGCTGTACCGTTTTCGTAAGAATATTATGTGGTAAAGCTTGACTTGGATCAAATGCATCATTACCCATACGCAATATAAATTGATCAAAACCCATCGTATTAGTATTGTTAGTATTTGTGCTAAAAGCTAGACGTCGTTGTGCTACACGACGCATTTCAAGTAGCCATACACTTGGAATTGATGTAAGAATAAAAATTAGAAATGAAGGTGAAAACCTATTAATAAAAAATAAATACAAAAAAATTAATGATATATCATATATCACTGACAATTAAACTCTATTAAGTAGTAAATTAATTATATTACCATTTTGGTTCAAGACCTTGTCGTTCAATAATTGTAACAACAAGTTCAATAAGCAAAAATATCGTTCCACATAAATTAAGTAAACACCAATAATCTTTAATATCATCATAAAGAAAATATGTTGCTATTAAATTGTGTGCACAAAAAGCAAGACGTACAATAGTTGCTTGAAGAATATTAAATGATTGACTAATGCGATAGCGGATAGCAGCAAGCATTGTATAACTTTTATATTTTCAAGTGAACGTCAATTATTATTATTATTATTCTTGTTTCAGTAGAAATAACATTTAAAAAAAGAAGACGAGAAATTAGTGTTTCTATTCATCTCTTTTTTTTTTCTTCTTGACAAGTGTTAGCTGATTTGATGACGTTATCGTCATTGCTTATGACAATTGACGACAAAAAATTACACGAATACCATGCAAACGATTTAGATCTGGCACTATAAAACTTATTCACATGTCTTTTATTTTTTTTATTATTAATGTTAAATCAACTAAATCTAAATATGAGTAATCTTTAGAATTAGTCTATAGTACATAACATCATCAAGTTCTTTATGAAAGGATCATTCAATATATATATATATATGTGATATAAATTAAATTGGTTTTTCTATTATATGCTTTTTGTATAATGTTTCATATTGAAGAGACAATATGATTGAGGTCATAATATGGTTTATTTTTTTTAGCGAAACACTAACTGAGAAAAAAAAATGGAATTTATGATGAAATCCAGATGTCGGTCTTTTTCCATCGTTACATAGAATCAAATAATTATTTATATTTATATCAAAGGAAAAAACCTTTTTAGTTGTTGATTCAATAACTATAGAAAAATATTCTTACTAAACTTTTATCCTACAAATTGAATTATAAATATATTATATTTATATTATTATTATAAATTCCTTTTCTTGTAGTTGCGATAATTAACTGAATATACGATAAAGTTAGATGTAACGTATGAAAAGTCAATACGTAAGATTATCATATACTAATGATTAAAAAAAATATAACTTTCACTTGGAGATGTCAGAAGTTTATTGATTATATAATAGTGAAATGTTTTATGTTACTCTTTCAATATTTACAAATCTATTGTTGATCGATTTTAAAGTTAGAAAAAAATAATTTTATTCTGAAATTATATGTATAAATGAACAACAATTAATAATCAAACGAAGCAACTAAAACATTGTTTAATAGAATTTTACAAATATTGATTATCTGTATTAAATTGACGTTCAGCAATATATAAATCAGTTTTTTTGTTCTTATAAATGCAAGACAAGGACATTTTAGATTGATCAATAATTTCTTATATTTTCCAGATAACCATCTGTTCTATGTATCGATTCAATAAAGTGAAATTACTTCAAAAATTACTTATTCATTATGATTAAATAGGTTCAATCGACAAAATAATCATCATCAGGCTAATGTAAAATTTTTCTAGATCTAAATGAAATATTAAACAATTATGTTCAATCTACTATAAAAATTTTTATCGTTCGAATTGTCCTTTTACCTTTTAAATCTTAATGAAAGAAAAAACAAAAATATTTTCATTATAATACGTTTCTTTTTCACAAATATGTAGAATAAATTGATTAAATGAATTGTTTTGATTAAACATTTGATAAACAATATAAGCAAATGTTAGAGTAATTTCTTTTTTTCAAATAGCACGAAGGTTCGATAATTAGAATTGTTTCTATTGTAATTGATCGTATGGTTTCAATAAAAGAATTCAACGATGATCTTTCTGATATCACTGATGAAGATGATAATAATGAAGATTATTTATTCGATACAAATAAAATTATTAATCATAAATTTAATCAATCTATATCAATATCATCATCATCATCTGATAAACAAAGTGTTAATAAACAAGAATATATTAATGATCTTTTAGCATTAAGTTCATTAATGTCACATCATATAAATTCTGATGATTTTATATCATCTGAAAGTCGTCTTATTCATTCAAAATTTCAACGTTTATTTCATTTTCTTTTGACTGATATTTATAATGAACCAATAACACAAGCATTAGGTGATCATATTTCAAATTTAACTGAAGTTGATGATGCTCTAATAAATTTAAATAGAAATGCAACATTAAAATTTCGAAATTATAAACAATTTCGTGAACAAGTTTGTTGATTTTATTATCAAAGAAACTATGTAATATTTATTTGTTTTTTTTGTTTGCTAGCGACTTGCATCTTCTAATGAACGACGAGATACATCTTTTACGTCACAACATATATATAATCGATGGACAAACATTAGACAAACGATTTCTAATTCAAATATAGAACGTGATCCATTGTTTCGATCAAAAAGTTCATTAAGATATTTTATTTCTTGGCTTCTTCATAGTTCATTTTTCAAATGGTTTATTAGTATAATCATTTGTTTAGATGTTGTATGTGTTGATAATTGATCGTTAATATTTTTTTATTAATCATAAATTTCAATTATAGATTAGTGTTGCTATTACATCAGAATATAGTTCACCAAATGATTCAAAATCTCTAATTTATAATATAGCTGTATTTATAAATCGAAGTATTCTATTTATATATTTGTTTGAAATAATATTTAAATGGATTGGTATTAAATTTCAATTGAAAACTAAATCAAATAGAATTCTTTTTTGTTTTATTTTTTTACTATTCTAGAAAATTTTACAAGTTTTTGGTATTCACCTGCAAATATTCTAGAATTTATTCTTACTATTATATCATTAAGTAATTTAATTAGTGAAATTTATATCGATACAAAAAATAATACAAGTTTAGAAATAAATAAAAAATTTCATAATAATAATCAAAAAACAACTGATACATTACAACGTATTAGGTATATTGAATGACTTTATTTATGATACATTTATTGTCACATTACATGTCTTACGATCAAATTTCGATAGATAATTGTGACAATGATTGTTCTTTTAACATATACCTCCTTTCTTTCGTTATCAACTTCCACTAATTAAGATATTCTTTTTAAATATTATTATATATTTATATTTAGATCATATGGATCAATATTATCTTTATTACGAACATTACGTATGTTACGTATTTTACGTATATTAGAAATAGCATTTCGTTTTACACAAGTACGAATTGTTTTTCTTGCACTTAGTCGTTCTGTTAAACTTATTTTCCATGTTGTTCTTTTAACTATTGTACTTAATTATTTTTTTGCACTTAT